TGCTGGAGGAGGTCAAGGAGAACCGTTTCTGGAGAATGCACAATGTGGGGCACAATTCTGGGGGTCCAGGAAGTCCCCCTATCCCAAATCAGCAGAAGTCGAGGGTGAGGCCTGCAGCCCAGAGGGCGGGGAGGCAGCCGAAATCGCAGCCCCCTAAACTTTCCCGCCCCCGGCACTGGTGGGAGGGTCCCGGACGACTAGGGGACTCCTCCGAGGCGCTAGAGGCGTGGGTCCAGGCTTCCTGGGGAAGTCCCCGCCCTCAGCAGGGATGGGCCCCTCTGGGTGCCCCCGGCGGGCCCCCCCGCCCCCCCCCCCCCAGTGGCGGTCTCGGTCCGCGTTCCCCTCGGGATCCGGGAATTGCTGGCAGCCCCGACGGAAATCCTGCTTTTGACCGCGATTGCCCGGAGGGGCTGTCTCCGTAGCAACCAGAGGGTGGAGAGGGAGAGACCAGCGCTTGGCTGCTGTTGGGCGCGTTGCCCACGCAGTCCCCTTTGGTACCCCCTCCGCCCCCGTTTTGGGTCCTCAGTCAGGGGCAGGCTTCTGGACAGAGGAGTAAGGCAATGATGCTAAGTGTTCAGACATTCTGGGGTGAGGATCTGCAGTCGGGGGGAACTGAGCCAGACTGGGCTCTTGATTGCTGTCTGACTTTGGGCCAGTTACAGGGCTTCACTGGGCCTCCTTTTCCTCATTTGAATTATGGGGGGGCGGGGAATGACCTCTGCCCCCACTCAGCCCCCATCCCCCCATCCATCCCAAATCCCCAGAATCAGGTGCAGAAAGCAGTTTTTGCACAGTGTCCTTAGAGGGGTTAGGAGTTATTACTGACCTAGGGGGATGCTTTCCTTCACCTTCTCAAAAGCATGGAGGGGGTACAGAAAGCCTGACAGGGTCTCCGGGAGCAGCACACAAGTGACATCTAGTAAATAAATGTTTATGGATCTGTTGAAGCCCCATACTGGGAAAGTGAGCAGGTTTGAGGTTCGGTCCCCCAACCCCTATGATGCCACGCCCAGTGACCCCTGAGCCTTTAGGCATCCTTCCATCTGTGGGACCGTGGAAAAGCAGGGCTCCGTTCTCACTTTACAGACAGGAAGATGGAGCTTCAGCAGTGAAGGACTGACAGGGCCAGCAGTAGGGATTTGAATCCAGGGCCTCTTGTCCCTGACGTGGTGAAGGAAGTAGCCAGAGCTGAGGCCTCGGTTCCCCCCCTCACTCCTACTAAATGCCCTGCAGCCCTGTGGAGAGGGGAGTGGGTGACTGGGGAATGGTGGAAGATGGTGTGGTGTTCCTGGGCTGCATGGCTGGTTCCTGCTCCCCAGTGGGCCCGAAGCTGTGAGCGAGGTGTCAGGATGTTTGTGAGTATGGTTTGGACTTTGAATGAGCATGAGCCTGTGAGCATATGTGTGGGTGTTAGGGTGTTCTCTACAGCCACCTGGGGCTAATGTGGCAAAGGAAGTGGCCAGACCTTGGGAGGCTGGGTAGGGGGGACCTCAGAGCTGGGGAAAGAGAAGCCAGGACCCCTTGTGCACCAAGCAGACCAGCAGGCCAGCAGACCCCCTAGTTTAAGGGTGTGGGCTGGTTTAAGGTGGAACCAGGAAGGAGGCTTCCTGCCTGGAAGACTCCTATTCCCTCAGCAACCCCTGAACCACCCATGGCTCCCATCTCCCCAAAACCTTGAATCCCTAAAGACCCTTATTTTAGAAGCTGGTGGGTGACTTTTCAGCAATAGATGAGAAACTACCATTACCCACACACATGGAGAAAATTCAGCTGACACATTTAGGATCATGTGGAGTAAGAGCAGTATGACAAAGATAGGCCCCCTCCTCCACATCCACCCCCCACTGCCCCCTCCACCTGGCTCTACCAGGTGATAGAGTCTGACTGAGGTATGTCTCCTTAGGCCCTGGGTGTTCAGAGGTAGGGGGTTGTTAAGGCCTCAAGAAAGGATGGTGTGGGATGGTTAGAGGTTCGATGAGAGCCAAGGCCTCAGTGAAAAAGATGGGGGTTAGTAAGGACCCTGGAGTTCAGTGAGGGGGGGCAGGGCCTTGGCAGGTGAGAGACGGAAGCCTTCAGGAGGGTCAGGTCTTGGTGAGGGGATGGGATTCAGTGGGGCCAAGACTTGTGTCCTGCCCCTGGCTGGCCCAGAGCCCTGAAGAGTAGCCGGAACTCTTGCAGGATGGTGGTTTCCGGCTGCTGCCCAAAGTCCCAGTTCCCTCTTTCTGAAATCCCCCCCCCTCCCCATTTGACTGAACCAGCCCAGCCCTCCCACCTCACCCTGGGAACTTCTCTTTCTTCTCCACCCTTGCCTGCTCCACCTCCCTGGGCCCTGGAGGGGCTTCCTCAAGGGAAAGGAGCGGAAGTGAAAGTTCACTGAGCACCAGCTGTGCGCCTGGTGCTTTCACAGTTGATCCTCAGAAGCAACCCCACGAGGTAGAGATTTATATTCCTATTTTCTAGGCAAAGAAACTACAGCTCAGAGAGGTGAACCAACTTCCCCAATGTCTCGAGCTAGTTGTCAGGCTGTGTAGAATTCAGCTTAAATCTGTTTCCAGGTCCCACTTGGATACTTGGCAGGGGTTGGGGGGGGGGTGGGACGGGTTGGGGGGCCCGGACCTTCTGGGGGGGGGGGGGGGGGGGGGGGGGGGGCGGGGTGGGGGGAACAGGACATCCTGTGTCTACATCAAAGCCCTGACATGGCTTGGAGAAGTGTGGACCTCAAGAGAGGGTGGGTGGGCCCGGGGCTCCTGTGCCCAGGAGTAGGGCTAGGCTGGAGGCAGGCTCCCTGCTGCGTGGCCAGCTGCCATATGGCAGGGGTGGTATGTTCAGTTGGCCAGGGGCTAGAAATATGACGTATACGAGTCAGGGACAGCATGACCTCCTGCACAGGCTCTGAAGAATGCAGCCACGGTGTGAACTCAACTCTGGACCTGAATTAATGGTCCTGGCTTTGAATCCCCTGTGTGGCTGTTTGACCTTGAGCAAGTCACTTCCCCCCCCTACACACTAGAGGGGGATGAACTGATAAATGGTCTCTGGGGGGCCTTCTAGCTTTGCTGCTTGTGGTTTTCAGCCTCACTTGACCACTGCACATTGGTCAAGAGCCACATCTCTTCAAGCCTTCCGAATAACTGCACGGATGCAAAAACTGAGGCTCAGAGGGGCTTATACCATTCATCCAAGGTCCCAGAGCTAATAACACAAAGAACAGGGACGCCTGGCTTGCTCAGTCGATACAGCATGTGACTCTTGATCTGGGGGTTGTGGGTTCAAGCACCATGTTGGGCATAGAGCTTACATTGAAAAAAAAAAAAAACAAAAGAACAGAGTCGGGTAAGGCCACACAGAGGGAGGTGTTGAAGGCAGGAACACCTTGGTCTAGGAATAGACCTCAGCTCTGGTACTGACTCCTGTCGACCAGCTGTTTAAGGGGCATACTCATAAACCGACCCGAGTTCCTGCGGTGGCCAGAATGCTTGTGGCCCCTCTCTCAGCTGCTGGCTCCCTTTCTGGTGTTAGCAGGCAGCCAGTTCAGCTCTGAGAAGAGAAAAGCCTGGGTTCAGATTCTACGGCTGTGAAAATCACGACTGTCCGAGAGAACCTGGGCTTCGCCTCTCAGGGCTGTAGTGAGGACTTAGAACGTGTAGCACAGGGCCTAGCACATTGTAGGTGCTCATTAAGGGACACACATTATTGCTTCTACCAGGGCTACAAAGTAGAACGGTGCCTACAGTGGAATTAGTCAAATTGATTGGGGTTGCATTTTAGTCTCCCTTTACTTACTGTGTAATCTTGAGGAAGTTACTAAACATCTCTGTGACTCAGTTTGCTTATCTGTAAAATGGGGGTAGTAATAAAACCTACTTCCTCAGGTAACCAAATGAGATCATGCATGGGAATTGCTTGGCACAATGCCAGGCGCTGAGTAAGTGTTTAACCAATTGGACATTTTAAAGCATAATCATTATTAGCCAGACTTCGAGGAAGTCAAATACCCTTGGCTTTGCACCAGTTAGGATCTGCGGGAGAGTCCTAGGGGCTGTCCGTATGCAGATACCCAAGCACGGAGGACCCAACCTGCTTCCTCTGCCTCTTTCCCTCTGCCTTGGAATCTTTCGTTCTCGGTCTTTCTCTTCATTCCTACCTTTCGCTTTTTCTGTCTCTGGCTCTCTGTTATCTTTCTATTTCTCATTTCTATCTCTCTTTGTCTCTTTCTTTTTCTTTCTTGCTGTCAGCCAGCTGCTGGAGCCAGCTAGGATTGGCTCTGGGGAGCTGACTGTGTGAGTCTCATCCCAGCCCAGTGTTCAGGAAGTCACCTCGGCTACTCGAAATCAGCCATGGTGGGAATATTTATACCATGGGAATCAGAAAATGCTACAAATCAGGACCTTTTTCTTTTTTCTTTTGAGAGTCAGTGTACCAGCACACTGCACTGTTTCTCTCTGTGCCTCTCTTTCTCTTTGTCTCTCTGTATCTCTCAGTCTCTGTCTCTGCCTTCTCTTTCTTGGTTTCCCCCATTTCTTTCTTTCCTCTGACAAAGCTTCCTGAGTGAGGGCACATCCAGTGTGGCCCCCTCAATGCCTTGGGCCATGCAGATGCCAAGCCCTTGCCCCGCCCCCTCACCTCACTTCCCCCAAACCCCTTGGCAAACTGGTGCCCAGAGAGCCATGCCTGGCCCTGGGCTTCAGTCCCCATCGGGGAGTTCCAAGTCCTGAGAGCTGTTCCCCATTGCTTGCACCCTTCACTGTCACGTCTTCCTCAGCCCACACAGCCCTCTGCCTCTTTCTAGAGGCTGACGGTTCCTAAACCACCCCTCCCACCCCATTCCAGTCATGCAGAATTTGGGGCTCCCATTAGGCTGATTTAAAAATGTTGTGGTAGGGGGTACCTGGGTGGCTCAGTCGGTGAAGCATCCAACTTCGGCTCAGGTCATGATCTCAATGTTCGCGAGTTCGAGCCCCACGTCGGGCTCTGTGCTGACAGCTCCGAGCCTGGAGCCTGCTTCCGATTCTGTGTCTCCCTCTCTCTCTGCCCCTACCCTGCTCACGCTCTGTCTCTCTCTCTCTCTCTCTGTGTCTCAAAAATAAACATTAAAAATCTTTTTAAGTTTTCAAAAATAAAATAAAATAAAATAAAAATGTTGCGGTAGGGCGCCTGGCTGCCTCAGTCAGTGGAGCATGTGACTCTTGATTCCGGGGCTGTAAGTTTGAGCCCCCCATTGGGTGTAGAGCCTCCTTAAAAAAAAAAAAAGAATTAAACAAAATAAAAATAAAAATGTTGTGGTAATATTTATCTGGGCATTGTCCGAAGTGGCAACCTTGTATCTATGTGGGGACCCAAGAGGTTGTGCGAATTTGTGTCTCTTACAGAGAGGCGCTCTGTGTGGGTCTGTGACTGGGGAGAGGGGTCTGCAGATCTGTGTCCCTCTGGGGGCTCCGTGCATCTGTGCGTGCTTGCACGATTGGCTGTAATTATCCGTGTCTGTGACCAGGCAACAGAGAGAGGTGGTTCAGATGCTGGAGCCCAATGTCAGGATTCATCCTGTTGTGTGACCTTGGGCCCAAACTCTCTGTGCATCGGTTGCCTTATCGATATTAGCAGTGCCTCGTGGTGGTGTTATGAGAATAAAACGTGGGGATATACGTAAAGTGTTTAACGCGGTGGCTGGCGCATAGTGAGGGCTGTAAACTCTGGGTACGCCGTTCTTGTGGAGAGGCTGTGTGTATGGCTGTGTGCATGTGCGTAGATGGGTGAGGGCCGGAGGTGTGTGTACATGGGGAGGTGGGTATCCTTGAAGAGGTATGTGTGGAGAAGAGCTCAGAGTCTCTGTGAGGTGCTGTGTGTAGGCGAGGTAATGTGCGCGTCCAAGAATGTGTCAGGAGGGCTGTGTGAATCTGGGCGTAGGCCCCGTGTGCCATTTGAGACGTGTGTGTGTCTTCCTGTGAGAAGACCTCCATTCTCACCCTGCAACCTTTGTCTTCATCTTGTCCCCATCTGTCCCCTCAGTGCCTGAAATCCTTTCCCTCCCTGGGCCCTGGGTGGCCTCACCCTCTACCTATATTCTCTCCCCGGCCCTGAGCAGCCTTCAGTGTCCTGGAGCCGTTCAGACACAGTGGTTGCGCCCCAGGGGAGGGGTCCCGAGGTGAAGATCCGCAGCAATGGCTTAGTGAGCATGGGCTATTTTAGGGCTCTTACCACAGCCCGCCTTCGCAGTTCACCAGATGGGTGTCCCTCCCCTACACACACAGGAGAACAGTTACGGTGAAGAGTGAGAGGTGCTGGTAGGTCTAGAGTGGGGGTCGGGGCACTGATGTGACAGAGCCATCGGCTAGGCAGCTGGATCTGGTGGAGCCAGGAAGCCTTCCTGGAAGAGGTGAGTGTGCTCAGTAGGAGGGGCAGGATCCAGAGAGAAGAGGAGGAGGCTATCCATAAGGGAACTGGACTTAGGGGTCAAGAAAGGCAAGACGAGGGCACCCGTCACGAAGGTCCTCAGCCCCTCTGGGAGAAATCAGGGTTCACTGGGTTGGCCCCACCCTACAACTGTCCATTCCTCTCACATCTTAGGAAACCGAGCCCTCTCCCCAGCAGTTCCTCTCTAAGTGTTGCAATGGCAGAGTTTCTTTCTGGCGGGGCGTGGGGAGCCCTTGCTCAATGATCTGCCTGCCCTGTTGCTCAGAGGACATAGCTACCGGGAAAGCCTTGGCTTGTTTAGGGGCTCCCCAAGGGATCCTGGTGGCCCTGGCTTCTGACTGGGCCTTTTTTGACGTGGGGGTAGGAACCAGCTCTGGAGGTAGGTGTCCCCCTTCAGTCTGCCACCAGACGTAACCCTGGGGCTGCTGGGGGTTTACGGAGCCCGGGGTGGGCGCGGGGGCATCGTGCAGAGGAAGGGCCAGGGACCGGGGGCCTATGAGTGAGAGAGCACCGCTCGGTAGAAATCCAATGAGAGGGACCAGTCTAGCGCAAAAACATGAGCATCTGACTCCAAGTCTGTCAACCCGAGAGGCAGCCTGTGTGCCTTTGTGCGTGTGCGCGCGCGCGTGTGTGTGTCCACGCGCGAGAGCTTGGGCTCGTGTGAGAGCTGGTTCGTGTGAGTGTGTTGGTGTTGGCGGGCACGCCCATGCAAGTGTGGGCGGTGGGTGTTGGTGTGTGACTCTGTGCCGGGGCGTGTTACTGTCCGTGTTGGTGAGCCGGTGTGTCAGGTGGATGTGAGTGTGAGAGAGTTGGTGTGGGTGACGTGTCCTGCGTGAGGGTGGATGTGTCAAGTCATGCCGGGACAGAGCCCAGGCCTGGCTTCCCGAAGAGGGCAAATCGGGCAGCCGGCTTCCAAGAACCTTGGCCGAGCCTCCGTCTTCCACGTCCTTCTCTCTCGCCCTCAGGTCTCTGGCCCCTCCCGAGGACCATGCCGCAGCCCCACTGACCCAGGAGTAGGGGCCTGAGGGGTGAGTGGGGAGAGCGGGGACTGAGGGCTTTCAGGGTCAGGAAAAGGGGTGGGGTGGCCTTCCCGAGCCCCACAACCCATCACAGCCCCCTCCTCCTACGTGGGCCCTGTTGCTAGGTAACAGATGGGGGAACCATAAAGAGGCAGCCTGAGAGGCCAGAGGCTGGACCCACAACAGGAAATGGCCTTGATCCCCCTCCGCAGGGAATCTCCAGGTGCAGACACACAGAGCCCTCACACACGCTCACATGCAAATACGCCTCGATACGTAGACATGCACATACGCAGAGGGAGACACACATATACACCCAGAGACATCCAGACGTACTTACACACACACACACGGACACACACACACACACACACAGACAGGCATATATGCTCCCGCACAGGGCTCTACACCTGGTCATGACACACAGACACGGAAGCACTTACTCACACAGACCACCTGCATGCACGGAGAGATACACACACACACACACACGCACACACTTGCACAGAAGCATGTACATACGTGTGCAACTGATGAGACATGAACACACCCGGAGCCATCACATGCACAGACACGCGCCCACACTCATACCCGCACAGACACACAAACACTCATAAGAGGCTGCACAAACACATATAGACACACACCCACAAATGTGTGTAGTCACAAATACTTAGAGACGCACAAAAGACGCACATGCACCAGCACTCTGAAGAGTGTCACAAAACCACAACACGTTGATGGAACAGGAGGCAAAAATATATGAATCAACCCAGCAGCGTCCCAAAGCAGCACACTGAGGGTATACATTCTCTCTCCGAACAAAGCAGCGGGGAGATAGACCCAAAGGTAGCCCTGCCCCACCTTCACCCCTCACTAGGTGGGGACCCGGAGAGGGGAAACGGCATGCCTGCGTGAGTGTGCGTGTGCACGGGTGCACGCGTGTGTGCATAGGGCAGCACGTCCGGCAGGGGCCCCAGAGTGAGGCATGCCCCATTCTGTAGCAGGGCACCTGGAATGGGCTGTGTGTTCTGCAAGAAGTTGGAGCCGGGGACCAAGGAGGATGTTGGCCTGCAAGGGGACTTCAGGGGCAGTGGGGCTGTGGACCACTATGGCCCTGACCCTACTCAGGCCCGGCCTGTGTCCTCCTTTGTCCATATCCCCAACTACAACAACTTCCCCACTCAGTCCACCAGCACCCCCTTCCTCGATGGGGGCGTCATCAGGGGCATCTCAGGTGAGTCCAGTGGGTGGGAGGCAGGCACTGCCTGGATCCTGGGAAAACCTGGGGGAAAGGGAGACGTCTTTAGGAGCCTCCAGTGTGACGTGGGAAACACGGCCCGGCTTTCAGAGCACAGTCTGAGAGGGAGAGTGTACAGGCCTACCTTCAGAAACCCAGTTTCAAGGGTAGACATAGCTCTGTTCCCATCTGAGAGAGGGACCCCGATGACGGACCCAAGTGGGAAGTCTTGGCGGGGAAGAGGAGTGGGTGACTTGGGAACTCCCCAGGGCGGGTGGGATGGGCTTGAGGGCATGTGTCCTGAATCCACGTGGAGCCAAGCTGTGAGGCCCAAATCAGAAATCCACTGGACTCCAAAGGCCTTTGGAACCAGTCACTGCAGCAGTAGGGAGGCATAGAGCCTGTGTGAGGAACAGGATTCTGGGGGTGCAGTCACCTTGGAGTCCCCTGTCCCATGCCCTACTCTGCTGAGTAGCCCTGACTCTGCAGGGGCTGGGGTGACCCTGTTCACCGCTCTGTATGACTATGAGGCCCGGACAGAGGATGACCTCACCTTCACCAAGGGTGAGAAGTTCCACATCCTGAATAACACGTAAGTAACCAGGTCCCCCAGCTCAGGACATGGCCTGGGCTGGGAACACGACCCAGATAAGAATCCTACCTGGTCCCTCAGAAAACTCCAGCCTAGTTGGGGACACAGATACATGACAATAACAACTCTGAGTAATTGCTGCTATGTAGGGGGAGCATGGGAACATAGGGGCACAGAAAGAACACTGTATGCGGTCTCCAGGATAGTAGTGATCAGGGCAGGCTTCCTGGAGGAGGTGATTGCTAAGGTGAGACTAGAAAAAATGAATAGATGTTGAGGGAAGAGGTGAGAAAAGAGGAAGAGAGAGTGAGAGAGAATGAGAATCCGTGATGACTTCTGGAAACCACCATGTGGTTCAGTCTAGGTGGATTATAAAGTACGAGGTGTAGAATGGAGAGAGCAGAAGCTAGAGAAGTGGGTGGAAACAGATTCTGCAGTGCTTTTTAAGCCATGTTGAAGAATCTGGATTTTATCCAGAAGGAAATATGCAGTCATTGGGGGTGGTTGAGGATTTTTCAGTGGGTAAGTGACCGAATTAGCTGTCCACTGCCTACCCAAACCCCAGCCCAGCTGAGGAGCCAGAGGAGAATGCCAGGAGTCCTACGTGTCCCCAGACATGTTGCTTCTGTAGGGAGAAGTCTCTGGGGCAGCTGCAGTGGCTGAGGGCAGAGCAGACAAAAGCCCTGGGGTGTGTGTGTGTCCACAGTGAGGGGCTGGCAGGGCTAGTCTCCACCTGATCTTTTGCACGGCCCTGCCTGGCCCCAGGGTGCTCCAGGGGGCCGGGTTGCCACTGACAGCCTGTGTCCTGTGCCTGCAGTGAGGGTGACTGGTGGGAAGCTCGGTCTCTCAGCTCTGGACAAACTGGCTACATTCCCAGCAACTACGTGGCCCCTGTGGACTCCATCCAGGCTGAAGAGTGAGTAGGGTGTGTGGGGGGGTGGCTATCCCTATGGACAGGACAGGACCCTGGAGTCCAAGGCCACCTCTGAGTCACAGCCCCACTCTGAGCCTATCTTCTTATTTACAATTCTGTGAGGTCATTTTGTGAATAAGAGAACAGTGATGATAATGACAGTAAACAATATTTATGTAGCACGTACCATGTTCTGGGCCCTCGTCAAAGTGCTTTCTGTCTATTAACAGAGTTAGGAACTAATCTTATCCTGTTTTATGAATGAGGCAACTGAGGCACAGAGAAATCAAATATCCTGCCCAAGTTTACATGGCTAGTAAGTAGGTGGAGTTGGTATTTGAACCCAGATAGTCTGACTGCATTTGCTAAGCATTCTCCATATTGACTTTCCATGATAACAACAGGACACACGCTTTAAAAAATTGTAAAACGCTGAACAATTGCAAGGGGACACTACTTAGAATTAATTCTGTTAAGGAGGCAGGGGAGTATCATTCATGGTGTCCCATTATAACCCGAGATGTGATGACAGGTGCTTTACCGACCTTGAGGCATTTAATTCTCACAAGTACACATTTGATATTATTATTGTCCCCATTTTACAGATGAGAAAACTGAGGCTCGTAAAAACTTTTTATCTATGTGCACCTATATATACATATATGGGAAAAGAAAAGATTGGAGAGACCAGGACTTGGTGACTAATTTGACATTGGGTGATGGGGAGTGGGAAGAATCAAGGATGGCCCAAAGTCTTCTTGAGGAACCGAGTGGGTGAGGGTGCCATTTGCTGAAGTGGGGAACGTGGGAGCGGGTATAGGTACCTGGGTTCTGGGGGTGGGGGACTCGTTGGGGTGAGATTCGTAGAGAGGAACAGCCAGGTGGAGGACCCTGCCAGGAATTGGATTAGGCTGTGCTTTGTAGGAGAGCGGCCCCACCCAGGCCAAGCCAGGCTGCTGAATTAGGCCAGAGGAAGAGGTATCTTTTCCTAGTTGGCATTAAGGCTCTTCGTTTGCTGTGGCCCTTGCAGAGGCACAGCCGGGCCGGGGTGGAAATCTGGGGCTCTTCAGGATGGAGGTGACAATTAAAGCTGCACAGGAGGGTGAAGGAAGAGACGGAGAGTGGGAAAGAGGTTGGCCCTGGGACCCAACTTTGGAGAAAGCTGCCTTAAAGGAGAAGTTGCTGTTGGAAAACCAGGCCAAGCCAAGTCAGAACAGCCAAGAGGGCGGAGGAAAGATTGCAGGAAACAAGAAAGGGAGTGTCAGAGGCTGCCACTGGGTTTGGCAATGGGGGTGACCTTGGTGAGGGATCTCTCTGTGTGAAGAGGGGGGCGAAGGCCAGACAGCAGGGCCTGGTAGGGAGTAGGAGGTGAGGAAGCAGAGACCCAAGTGTGAAGTGCTTTATCAAGTGAAGGGGAGGTGAGAGATATAACAGAATGTTGATGGCAAGTTAGGGCTTAGAACAGTTTTGGGGGGAAGGAAGAAACATGGGCATATGTAGAGGTTGGTGGGATGGAGAGGCTTCACGTGGGGGCTGGCTGGTAGGGGAGAGATGTCTCTGAGCAGAGGGGAGTAGATGGGGCCCAGAGCTCGGGGAGGAGTGAGGCCTTCATCTGGGCGAAGTGGTAGGAGTCATGGAGGACAGAACGGGTGATGATGCAGAAGGTAGGAGGTTTGGGGGGTTCATGCTTGTGTCCACACCCTCAAAGCAGTGTCACGAAGCTCTGAGCTCACTCACTACGGTGTCATGGTTAAGAGCAGTGCTGTGGTTAAGAGTGCAGGCTCTTGAGCAGACAGCTTGGGTTCCTATTGTGGCAACACAGCTGAAGAGCGTGTGGCCTTGGGTGAGTTGCTTAACCACTAGGTATCTCAATTTCCTCATCTGTCTAATGGGGGTGGGGGGGGTGTATGTAACAAAAGTACCTACCTCATAATGTTATAAGAATTAAATGGGGGGGCCTGGGTGGCTCAGTCAGTTAAGCGTCCAGCTCTTGGTTTCGGATCAGGTCATGATCTCATAGTTTGTGGGTTCAAGTCCCACGTCAGGCCCTGTGCTGACAGCTGAGAGCCTGGAGCCTGCTTCGGATTCAGTGTCTCCCTCTCTCTCTGCCCCTCCCCTGCTCACACTCTGTCTCTCTCACTCTCTCTCAAAAATAAAATAAACATTTTTTAAAAACTGCAGTTTGGGGTGCGTCCGGGTGGCTCAGCCAGTTAAGCTTCCAGCTCTTGACTTCATGATCTCAAGGTTCATGGGTTCAAGTCCTATGTCAGGTTCTGCACTGACAGCGCAGAACCTGCTTGGGATTCTGTCTCCTCTCTCTGCCCCTCCCCCACTTGTGTGCTCTGTTTATTTTTTTCTCTCTCAAAATAAATAAAGTTTAAAATGTTCTTTCAAATTGTTTATTTTTTTTTTAATTTTTTTTCAACGTTTATTTATTTATTTTTGGGACAGAGAGAGACAGAGCATGAACGGGGGAGGGGCAGAGAGAGAGGGAGACACAGAATCGGAAACAGGCTCCAGGCTCCGAGCCATCAGCCCAGAGCCTGACGCGGGGCTCGAACTCACGGACCGCGAGATCGTGACCTGGCTGAAGTCGGACGCTTAACCGACTGCGCCACCCAGGTGCCCCTCAAATTGTTTATTTTTGACACAGAGAGACGGGGAGAGAGAGAGGAGGGGGAAGGGGGGCGCGGACAGAGGATGCGAAGCAGGCTCTAAACTGACAGGAGCAAGCCCAATGTAGGGCCTGAACTCATGAACTGTGAGATCATGACTTGAGCTGAAGTCAGACACTCAACTGACTGAGCCACCCAGGTGTCCCTGCCAATTTTTTTTTTTTTTTTAAGCTATCATTTGGTCCCAGGAAAAATATCCAAGAGAGAGCAGGAATGCTTGGGCCTGAGGTTGAAGTTGAGACTTAGAAGAACATCCAAATTTAAAATTTTTTTTTTTTTTACATTTTTATTTATTTTTGATAGGCAGAGAGAGACAGAGCACAAGTGGGGGAGGGGCAGAGAGAGAGAGGGAGACACAGAATCGGAAGCAGGCTCCAGGCTCCGAGCTGTCAGCACAGAGCCCGGTGCGGGGCTCGAACTCACAAACCATGAGATCATGACCTGAGCCGAAGTCAACGCTTAACCGACCGAGCCACCCAGGTGCCCCAAGAATATCCAAATTTAAGAATGTGGAGGAAAAGCAGCAGTCAGAGCCAGACAGGAGCAGTCAGAAAGAGGGGAAGGAGGAAAGGGTTTGGGGGTAGGGAGGAGTGTGGGAAGAAGGATCTGAGAGATGGCCTGGGTAGTGAGAAAAGAACTAGGCTGGGCAGGTAGACTTATCAGCCAGTCCTATGGGCAGATCACTTCCTCTCTCTGAGCCTCAAGTTCCTCATCTGCAAAATGAGCCCCTAGAGGATCAGTAGTGAGATACATTAAGGGACTGGTGGCACCCTGATGAGGTCACGGACGACTGGGGTCCTCGCGATTTTAATTGAAGAGAAACCCAGAGAATGAGGAGAAGCCTAACCTTTATTGGGCACTCCTGTGAGCCAAGAATTCTACATTCCTGTCTCCATGCTCCTCATGACCAGGCTGCAAAGCAGGTGTATGAGCCCCGTTTCATGGGTGAGGAGCTGGAATCTTGGCTCCTGAGGTGGCTTTTCCCCACAGGAGGCCGAGTTGGGGGTTGAACTGGGTGGATCTGCCTCTTTCTGGCCCTTCCCAACAGGTGGTACTTTGGAAAGATCGGGAGGAAGGATGCGGAGAGGCAGCTGCTCTCCCCGGGGAACGCCCGGGGGGCCTTCCTCGTTCGTGAGAGTGAGACTACCAAAGGTAGGGTCCTGGGAAGGGGCAACTGGGAAGCCGGGCTATTATGGTGGGGCTAGGAGAAGTGGCGAGAGGCTTGGGTCAAGGCCCAGGGCCCAGACTGGGACAGGGAGGGGGGGGCAGAGATAAGACTGGGACAGGGTTCAAGGGATGTGGCCATCCACATTCCCAGTCCTCAGGCATTTGAGCCTCTCAGGCTCCTGGATCAGGAGTGGGGAGGAGAGCAGGCTTGAAGGTGACCCTTTCCCACAGGTGCCTACTCCCTGTCCATCCGAGATTGGGACGAGGCCAGAGGCGACCATGTGAAGCATTACAAAATCCGCAAGCTGGACACGGGTGGCTATTACATCACCACACGGGCCCAGTTCAACTCAGTGCAGGAGCTGGTGCAGCACTACGTTGGTGAGGCTGGCGCTCAGGGCTGGTGTGTGCTTCGGATCCCTGAACCAACCCGCTGAGAATTAGGCCCAGAGAAGGAAAGGGGCTCCCAAAGCAGTAGTGCCTGGGGTAGAATTGGAACCCCAGTTTCTGGGTTTCCAGCCCAGGATCCTACTCTGTAGGATTCCAGAGGAAACAGGGGTGAGGCTGTCCACATCCAAAGGGTGCCCCCTAATGTCCAAGCTGGGTAGGAGACTGAACAGGCCTGACTTGCAGGATGGGCTGATGGGTTGAGAAGAAGCTGGGAATCAATGCTCAGGTTTCTGCTTTGGTTGATTAGGCCAAAGATGAGGTCCATGGAAGGGTGAAGGCCTCATGTCCACATCTTTGTCTGGAATCCCTGACTCCATTTCTACCTGTTAGAATCCCACCTTAACCTTGGAGGCCCAGCTGGAGGCCACCTCCTATGGGAAGGACACCCCCACCCCCACCGCATCCCTGCAGGGATCATCTCTCCCTCTTGGTGCCACCTCCTTCCTTGAACAGGAACGTGTTCACCTACTCAGTGGGTCAGGTTGTCTTCTGCCCCAGCCTGTGACCTCACCTGTGGCCTAGTTCCTTTCCACTGATCTCAGAGGGGGTTGGGGGGAGCCTGGGATGGGATGAGGAATGTGCTGTGCGGGGCATCCTGGCCTGCCTGTGACCTTCAACACCCCCCACCCCACTCCTCAGAGGTGAACGATGGGCTATGCCACCTGCTCACAGCGGCCTGCACCACCATGAAGCCGCAGACAATGGGCCTGGCCAAGGACGCCTGGGAGATCAGCCGCAGCTCCATCACGCTCCAGCGCCGGCTAGGCACCGGCTGCTTCGGAGACGTGTGGCTGGGTACGCAGGTCCCGAGGTCCCGGGGGCTGGGCGAGGGCTTGGGATGTCGGCGAGCCGGTGCTGACGAACCGCGGCCACCTGGCAGGCATGTGGAATGGCAGCACGAAGGTGGCGGTGAAGACGCTGAAGCCGGGAACCATGTCCCCGAAGGCCTTCCTGGAGGAGGCGCAGATCATGAAGCTGCTGCGGCACGACAAGCTGGTGCAGCTGTACGCCGTGGTGTCGGAGGAGCCCATCTACATAGTGACAGAGTTCATGTGCCACGGTGAGGGGCAGGGTCAGGAGGCGGAGTCTGGGAGGGCGGGATTTGGGAGGAAGTTCAAATAGGGATCTCTAGGGGAGGGTCCTGAGTGGCGATCTGTGACGCGACGGGACAGGGGACTCGGTAGAGTCAGAGAGCGAGGCCGGGATGGGTGAAACCCCGTGAGTGCTGGTAGTGGGGCGGGGCCAAGGTAGACTGGCCGGGGCTGAGGCTAGGTCTGG